AAAATGCCATAAAAAGAGTAGCTCGAAATCGTTGAAATAAAATAATGGCAATTGAACTTATTGCAACAATTAGTTATTACAGAATAAACATGAGTCATTAACATAAATTAAAGGTGGTGTTGTTTGACAGTACCACTGACCAAATTTTATCTTCCATATGTTTGGTAGTATCATTTTGACGATTGACTTCTAATAAGAAGCTTTTTTTAGAAAAATATGCTGTCCAAGTCCTCTTAATATTTAGTGTTGTTATAAAGATTTACTTATAATTAAGTATTAGGTTACCTATTTTTGTAAATATTTTATTATCGTCAACTAAGTGTAAATTAAAGGGATAATGCACAAGTACCCTCTCAACATATGTCCGAAATCTCAGAGACAGATTTATACTATACTAAGGTCCTATTACCCTCCTGAACTTATTTTATAAGTAATTTTCTATCCCTTTTTTGCCTACGTGGCACTAGTTTGAAAAAAAAGTCAATCATCGTTGGCCCACAAGATAGAGCCACGTAGGCCGAAAAGGGGTAAAAAATTATTAATAAAATAAGTTCAGGTACCTTAGTATAGTATAAGTGTGTCTCTGAGATTTCGGACATAGATTGAGGGCACAGATTGAGGGGGTACTTGGGCATTATCCCTAAATTAAAATCAAAGTTAAAGTTCAAATTATTATATCGTCAGGTCATGTCAGTTGATATAGTGTAAAAATTCATTGTTACTATTAAATTAAAAGATTGTTGATTTTGACCGACACAGAAATTATTCTTTCATTATGCACTAAAGTCCTAATTTGAGAATCATGGGACCTATATGTTATAAATCACTACTAATTCGAGTTAATGGCAAAAATAACATGTTTGCTTTTAATTATATAGACAAAAAATGTGATTGTGAAATCTTAGATGGTTATATTGTGTTATATATAAAGAGAGACAAATTAAATATGTATAGACAAATCAAATATATTAGCCAAATCATGTAAGTTTGTTGTTCAATCAAATCATAATTGAACTCTTGGTGTATACTATTTGAAATTATTATTATAATGTTTTTCGTTGTACTTATTACAAGAAATAAAGAATATTTTTTTATAAAATATGATTTTTTTATTCATATTATATCGAATAATAATGGGAAAAAAATACATAAAAGATATAGAGCAAAAAGTTTTTAATTTTTCGCGTGAAATAGTTTTATATTTTTCTTAGCAATACAATCAAAATATCTATAAAAATAATTATTCGAATAAATTTCCATAAGAAAATAGTCTCTCTTTTTTTATTATCAGTGTGAGTATACAGTACTCGACACAACCATTCGAGTCGTGATCTAGTTTTATGTCTTTCATTATTATGACATGCTGAAGTTAAACTCGTGGCTGAGCTTCTATTTTGGCAAAACACATATTTTTATTTCTGTATAATGTGACCATTAAATCAAAGAGTTCTGGTCCACATATTATGTTGTGCATTATTATTGCTCAATGGGCAGTATTTGCCTTAAAAAATTGTTTTTTCGTGTATAAGCCATTTGGCCAACAACATATTTTAGGGTCCATTCCAACAAATTAAAGAGGAAAAAAACAAACTCATGATCTTTAAGAAGTCAATTTGATTTCTTTGATTAGCACCTAACATGGCAATGTCTTATGTCCATCTAACTGCCAAGGAAAGCCAAATTTAGTATCAAAATGAGTTTGAAAAAAAGAGTGAAGGGAATCAGATCGATATGAAAATAAAATAGATGTATATATTATTAAGTATTATATATATATATTGCAAAACTAAAGGTTTAGTTCTAGCTTTGTTTATCCTTATCCGGTAGATGAGATGTTGACAATCCAGCCAAATCTAATCAGCAATAAACATAGCTGCGGAAATGTTTCTAATTTAGCTTAAACATTATGTTAAAAGTGACTCCAATTTTTCCTCGTCCCATTGATTTGGATAATTCTAACACACACCCAATCCAATATCGATAATCATAAATTGAGATAGATTTAACTTTAATTTTCTATAAATAACTGTATTTTAGGCCTAACCAAGTCTTGACCCCAAAAATAATATATGAGATAGAGATTACACAAATTCATACAAGGAATTCAAATTCTCCGAAGGACTTAACAAAAGAAAAGTTAAAACTCCATATGGAGTGTTGGATACTAAATATAACACAAACAAATTGAGAGTTGGCGACAGGCGAGGGAGGGGTTAATTCTAAACTCGATAGCTTTTTCGTGTGTTTCGTTTCTTTCTATTTCGAATATAAAGGTGGAAAATTGACTCAAAGGCAATTAAACTGTGTTAACAAACACAAAATCTAATTGCACATAAATTATTTCTCATGAATCCCCAATTTCATATAATAAACAGGGGATTTGCTGAGTTCATGAGCTGAAATCATTGAGATGTTTTCATATTAATTAAATTGAAAAGATATACCAGCCCAATATCCTTCAAATCATCAAAGATTCACGAACCCTATACTTTTTTTAAAAAAAAATCTTCAAAATATTATACTGTATATCTTGAATCCTCGATGTACATAATATATAATCCCACTAACTACATAAAGAGTCCTATAATCGAAAACTTCAAATTCTGATTCCGCCCCCTCTGCTCTAAACTAATTACAAACATAATTTCTAAATCCAATTAATCAGCTATATCAATCCTGTCGTTGCAAGAGCAAAGATCTACATAGTGGACAAGTAAATTGACACCTTTCAACCCATCCCTCAATACACTCCATATGAAAAACGTGTTTGCATCTGGGCAATTCACATACAACATCATCTTTCTCGTACTCCATCAAACAAATCGAACAGCTCTCCTCAACTCCCCGTTCGCCGAGGTTGCAAACATCGGCGAACGTAGTTGTCGCAAGTGACAGCTCACAGTACGTGGGCACGGTCACTGCGACAGCTCCACTGACAGGACGAGGATACGGATAAAAAAATTCCAACATTTTGTGAACGAATTGATGTATATGACTAAAAGGAATATACAAAAATGTGTAGAATGTGATTGTAATAAATGAAATGTGAGATTGTGCTGTTACGACTGAACTTATCATTTTTGCTCACTCTTTAATGTTTTTTTTTTCTTTTTCTCTTTTGAATGTGTGAATGATGATGAGAGGAGGAAGAGATTGAGATCTATTTATATAGAGAAACGGATTATAATATAAGGTCAACTGCCATAACTTGGCATTTCAGATTTATTATGTTATTAAGGGTTGACATTGACTTATTCAATAATTAACAATTTATTTGAGTTTACATGGGTTTTTGATTATTAAGGTATCATGATTAGTTTATAAGTTTACTTGATTATGTTTTAATTTGACAAATTTTCATTAAAAAGAAAAATGTTAGTATAATTTTATTAAAAACGAACTAATAATAATTAGTGCTAATTAATACTAACATAAACAAAATATATATATAAAATGATAAATTATCTATTGATTTTTAGAAATAATAAATGAGAAGGGAGTAATACGGACCGTTTGGTCCCAGGTTCTATTTGAGAATATTTAGGAAAAACTCGGTAAAATTTGGGAAATATTTGGAAACTTTAAAAATTTTAAAATTATTCTAAATTTCTATATTTTATAAAAAAAAATATTCATCATTTATTACTTTCTACTAATAAATATCTATATGTTGAATAATTGACTCAAAGTAATAATATTTATTTCGTTTTCTCAGTCATCTGATCTATAAATGAAAGCTTATCGGAAAGATATTGTTCGTAGAATGTAGGAAGATTATATAAAGAATAGTTTGTTACTATTCCTGCGGGGTTGTTATAATTATAACCAAATTAATGACAAGTTTGAATAATGTATTGCTCTTGCCTATATTCTTATTTCGTTGTTGCTAATTGTTATCAATTACTCTATTTGTCCCTAATTATTTGTTCACATTTCATTTTTTAGTTGTTTCTAATTCCTTGTATATTTTTGACAAATCAATAAAGGATAAAAAAAATTACTCAGTATACCCTCAATTAGTTGCTTCAAAAAGGTAGATTTTTTTTTTAAAAAAATTAATTTTTAATTTAATTATTTCATAATTAATAGAGATAAAATATTAAATCTACTATATTAATTAATATTATTTTTTAATAAATTATTTTAATTTAAAAGTAGATAAGTTCTGTATTTGAAAAGTAGCAAGGCCGGCGCCGACCCTACACGTAGATCTATGTTTGTAAATGTGAGTCACAGGATATCTGATTCTTACGCTACAAAATTCGATGTCCTCTAATTAGGACAACTTTTTGGGCTGTGGAGTGCTAATTATTAGGCGAAATTTGTGCTATTACGCCTAAATGCCTTTCAATTAGTAGTTAATTATGACTTATGAGTTCTTTTATTATAGTTTAAAGGGAGGGTCAAATATGCCCCTGTACTTTTCGAAAAGGTTTAAATATGCCCTCCGTTTAAAGTTTGGTCTATTTATATCCTCGCCGTCCAATTATTGGTACAAATATGCCCTTATGGGCGTTAGTTGGCCACCTCAAAATTTCCAACGCATTTTACTTTTTATTAATTACCCAAATGAATTTTCCACGTAATTTTTATATTACAGCGTGGCATTTATATTACAAAAGAGAAAGGGTCAAATATGCCCCTAAAAATCCGACCCATTAAACTTACCCATATTTTAAGGTTCAATTATACCCTTTTATTACCCGTATCCGACCCAAAACCCATATCCCTTTTCCCCAAATTTTATTACCCTTTTATTACCCGTATCCGACCCAAAACCCATATCCCTTTTCCCCCAAAACAAATCCCTAATTTCCTAAACTTCCTTTTCCCCCAAGAACACAAATCGCGGTGCATTAGGGTTCTTGAAGACTTGCAGAAATTGCGGCGGC